CATATTGTGAAAGAAAACAAGCAAAAGGGAATTTATCAATCAATCAATAAAAGATAAGAACTCCATGTTTGCCTGGTTGTTAGCTCTGTTGCCTCACAACAATTTGTTCTCAGGTTTTTGCAGACTTTACACAAAATACAAGTTTAAATCACTGCATGTTTATATAAGAACACTACGGTATCTTTTGACGTTTATTGGGGGAAAGTTTCCCTTGTAGAGGTCACTGTTGTTGTCACACCAAGGCACTAGAGGGCGCTGTGATTTTAGCATGTCATCAAGATGTGCATGCGGCTTTGACCCCTAGCTTTCGCCTCATTTATGTATCAAAATCCATTAATAATAATAGGTTTGTGCATCAGTAACTTAAATAACCAGTATTAGGTTAACTTAACTGCCAGGCTTTTCTTAAATAAAGTCAAATAATTATTGTGGTTGAGTGGATGTGTCTGCAAAATAGGAGCAAAAAAATACAACTCATTTTAAACCAAATCATAATTCCCTGCACTATAAATTATGATTCTCAATTTTTTCAGCACCTCTACTTCAGCTCCTTCTTTGGATTTAGTCCTGTATTAAAATTATTGATTTTACTGGCTTATTTACCAAGATATTTTCCCTTTAACTGTCTGTATTTTAAGGTTTTTGCTCCAAAAAAAAAACTTGGCATCTTTTATTTGTCATTATTTATATTCCTGAAACATGCAGAAGTTAAGGTCCACTTGATTCCACTAATAGCCTAATTATCTGACATTTTCCCCCTTCATGACTCATTCTGGCCTAATCTCCATTCCAGCACTCGCTTGGTTGAACTTCCAGCTGTCCACAGCAGTTTCCCTGCTGACATCGGAGGATTCTCGCTCTGTCTCAGCCGATGGCTCCTTTAAACAGCAGAACGGAGCTGCCCCACATCCCACTTACAGATATTTGTAATCCTTTCTCCAGCGACTTTCACTGGAACTGAAATGGTGGCCAGAGAGCGGCAGGCGACTGGTTGTGTATTGGTTTTGGCGTGTTGAGGAGGGGTTTGGTGGGAAAAACACCCTTCATCTTGGTGGAAAGCCAACTGTAATGCATCAGGAAGAGTGGGAGTGTGTTGGCTAGAGGTGCAACAAACAAAGAGTAGATGAATGAGGCTGGGGTTCATGGAAAAGTTCACCGGTTTAAAGATGTACTGTCTGAGTTATGTTGTCGGCGGGGATTATAGTCTCTCCAACATGCTGAAATACATTGACCTGCTTTACTCTGTGATGTTTTATTTTTCTAAATGGATTGAAGCAATGTTGGATTTCAGATGTCAGACTTAATCAGTGTATTCATGGTGAGTCTGCAGGCATGCGCCGTAGATTTTGTGTATCTGACACACCCCTGCTAAAATGTCAGATTTTTGTGCCTTGAAAAAAGGAGGCCAGGAGAAATGGAGCCTTCCTGCTTGAGGTTTTTAAAAATGTATCATATTACAACAAACGTAAAAGGGTTTCACCGAGCATAGATCACCACAAAATAGTTCATATTTCAAATTCAAAACAAAAATGCTAATAAAATGCTAGGTAGTACACTATGTTCAATATGCAAAACCGCTAAAATGAGCTAAAATAGTAAATGACAGCATGTAGGCTATCGATAGCATGTTGACCTACAGTAACATGTTTTTTTATGTTGTTTATTAGGCTTTTGTATGCCATTTGCTGAACCTTATAGTTAAAGTTAAAGTTAAACTAGATATAGTTTTAAACTTTAACTTTATAGTTAAATTGTATTTTTTTTAAAACCAATTCACACAACAATAACGTCTTGCGTTATTTCAGAAGATTTCAGAATACTTTTCTAAAATCTGGAAAAGTATTTTAGGAAAATATGTTAACTATTACTTCAGTTTCAGCCTTTAGTTTGCATCTGCCATGAATTATAGATAATCCGATTCATAATTTGCTCATTTCCATTAAGCTTTGAGATTATGAAGGATCAATTGGAACTGATTGGGCAAATGTATTGGTTAGTGGAAGGGAAATACATCCACAATAAAAAAAAAAAATGTACATATACCACAGCATAGTGAAGGCATGCGTCAAGCAGGAGAGGAAATGGGATGAGAGGGACATTACGGAAACTGGACATTTCTCCAAAACTGTAGAAAAGTCCAGATGGAAACTGGTTTGAGACGCTGCCAAGGCCCTGACAGCAACAAGAAGGAGCTGCAGAAATTTCTGGAAGGTACTTTTAGTGTGCTACATGCAGATCTATCTCTGTATGTCTGAACCGAGGAGTAAAGCTGGAGAGAAAATATGAAGATAAACTAAACTCCTGCTTCACAATTTCAAATGTGTTTGACACAAAACAGACAGGAGACAATAACCACAGAAAAACATGGTGGTGGCGGCACCATCCTGTGGGATTAATGTTTATTTACTTTTTATTGTTTTATGTGGATGATCAGTTTCAGATTTGACATTTTGACTTTAACTTTGTCAAACACTGCCGTTTTATTTTTATGTTTTAACATATTAAATATTTACATACATCCCATTGAAGGTGTGAACAGATTTGAATCATTTTATTTTTAAAAATGGACTATTTTACAATTTTTTTTGTAGTTAATGTCCTTTTTCAATTAAATTTAGTTTGCTTTGATGCCAATTTATAATAAATGTTATCTTGAGGCACTTTACAGATAAAAAAATAATTTTAATCACATAGATTTCAATTGATCCCAGTAATAAAACAGTACATTAAGCTCAGTTAATTACCCAAATAAGATCAAGAATTTCTTTATCTAAATTAACCCAGCAGATTGGATTTTTATATACTGATTAAAGCACTGATATTTTTGCTCAAACGATATTTAATTGAGAAGAAAAAACAAATCACTTGGGGTGTGAATGAAAACAGGCTGCACTTCCTCCTGTTTCCCTCCTTATTAAAGAATGTTTTAATCCTCAAACAAACACAGAAATGTCTAAAACTGGGAGCAAATAAGCTCATGTTCTACAGGAAAACTAAAAATGAACACAGTGGTAATTCTCACTGGGTGACGAATTACCATAAACACACACACACACACACACACACACACACTGGTTTATTTAGACTCAGCACAGCTACTGAAAACACTTAGGACTCAAAATGTGTAATTATTCACAGCTGAAAATAGAGCGAGTTCACTCTGCTAATGTTTGCTTAAAACCGCAGAGCAAATGCTAAATTATGTATTTGGGTCTGACTGGCTGCAGTAAACAGAACCTCAGTCAGATTTATTAAGATCAGGAGTGAACAGAAAACATCTGAACATCCAGTTCAAACCTTATAAATGCAGAAAAAAACTCAGTCGGTTCAATAAAGACGTCTGTATTTTCATAGTTAATTCATTTATTTACCAGCTTACAGTTTTGTTTAAGGCATATTAGTGTAAAATGTTTTAATTGACACTAATAAACAGAATTTTATCTGTTAATTACTAAAACAGGATGTATAAAAAAATCATGAATTGGTTATAAAAATTATAAAATTGTTAATTATATTAAAATAAGTTCATAAGAAATTTAGCAGGACATAAAAAGGAGTAATATTTATTCCACAAATTGTTTTTGTTTGCATTTTTTTGCTTTTATCTTATTTTCTAGAAGCAGATCTTATTGTTACTATTGTGTTTCGGTTTTGATTTGCGTTTATTAATTATGTAAAGTTTGTGTTTAATGCTCTGTTTCAGACTCAGACATGCTAACATGTAAATCTGAAGGAAAAAAAAGTTTAAATTATTCTGACATTTAGCAAATCGAAATAATGTGGTAAACTTAACCTACATAAAACTGGAAGCATTTAATCTGGATTAATGCCACACGTAAAAAAATTTTTTTTTAAATGAGTCTCTCTTTTAAAATACAAAATATGAAAATATCTGGATGATTAACCGGATCAGTAAAGGACTGCAGAGAGCATTTCTCTACATCAAAAAGCAGAGCTGAATTTAATCTACATGAAACAGCAGCATGCATGTTTCATGTAGATGTTCAAAAGGCCGCCGAAGTTCCCAGATCTGGACTCATAAAATGATCAAACACAGAAACTTTCCCTCTACTTAGTGAAAAGTCTCTCACTGTTTTCCTTTTCAATCAATCCATTCAGGCTTTGAATTATAACGTCATTTAAAAACGCCTCATGTTCCCAATGAAGCTAAAAGTCACCAAATCCTGGTTAACAGCTGATTATCTCTGGTTTTATTCTCGTTTTCTGTGGGTTTTAATGTTTTTGGAGCTCACAGATAAACCGAAGATAAATAATGAAATGACTGAAAACCAATTGATAGAAAATAAAATTAAAATTTAGTTTGAAGAAAATAAAAAATGACTTTTTTAAGTAATCGCTTTAATAGAACCTTTATGACACCATAAAATAGACTGAACAATCTAAAAAAAACAAACTATGATTCCTTTAAGCAAATAAATCCAAAAACAGATAAGAAAACACGATCAATGCTATTGATCAGAAATGGCACAAATAGAGAAAACATGGCAGTCAGTTCTTGACCCAAAAGAGAAGAGCACTTTGGTTATTCAGCTGAACAATAATCCATAAACATATATGGAAATCCAGCTCACAATCCAGATTTTTATTGGAGTGGCCTAGTCAAAGTTTGGATCTAGAATTTTGTAGCATGACGTTAAAAAAGGTCATGCTCAAATTTCTCCACATTTCCAGTTATAACACGTAGATGGCATGTTTATGGAACAAATGTGTGTTTCAGATTCCTGTTAGAAATTTAATCATTATTTAAAAACTGATTTTATATTCATCCAGGGTTTTTATCCATTATTGAAATCAATTTGCTGATTTGAAACACTGAAATGTTTCCATTCGGCCGTTATCTGTTATTAAAACCCGTAAAAGTAAATCATCATCATCATCACACAAAAATGAGGAAGAAACATAGAAACAACCGAAAGCAGATAGAATTTCCATAACTGCTGATTTTCCCGTATTGATAATGATTACAGGGACACAATCAATAACAAATTAGGATTCTTTTATTTGAAATTGTTCATCTTTTACACAACATTTAACACAACAAGCTTCTGTGGTCCCTCTGGCCAGAGCACTGCAAAAACACAAAGTCTAAAAAAGTATTTTGATTCCAGTTTCTACTGCAAACGTCTTAAAACAAATAAAATAAAACAGAACAAATTTATAAGGAACTTCTCAGGGAAATATAGGAGCTTGTTTTAAGTCAATAATTCCTTAAAGAACCAGTATAATGAAAAGAAACAACTTTTTTGAGCTTTGCATCATGTTATAATGTCAAATGGAGAGTTGCTTTGATTCTTTCATGCATGTTCCAGCTGTTCAAAACACCAGGGCGGACGTAGCTCCGCCTTCGAGGCGCAGCTCCCCCTCTGAGCTGCGGTTTCCAAGCTGCCGCCTCACAAAGCAGCCCTCTCCTGCTCCTTCAGACTAGTCAGCAGCAATTAGCAAACACCGAGTGTAACAGCTCACCTGCTGAGCTCATTGTAGAAGCTACTATTCATTGAAACTCTGGTAAAAACGTTGTTAAAGGGTTAATAGAGCAGCCATATTGTGATGACTTCCTGAAGGCGGAGCTTCCGAAAGAGCAGGAGTTCTTAAAGAGACAGAGGCGTTAAATTACAAAGTTAAACTTCTTTCGAGCCTTATTTGGCATAGCGTTTTTATAACAACTAAAGCTAACATAGCCACTTGATTGTGCTATAAAATGGCACTATAAAACTGTACTGATGAAAAAGTTATTAGAAAAAACGTTTACTTGAAATAAGTTGTATTAAGTAATTATTTACTAAAACAAGCTCTCATATTCTGCTTCAAAGTTACTTCTAAGTTGATTTGGTTTTTTCTTCGTATATTAAGATATTTCGACTATAACTAGTCCAAAAATACTTGGTGTAATTTAGTGTTTTTGCAGTGAGACAGCAGGCGACGATGGATGCTGGGTAACAACTGGAATGGTTTACGATGGATAGAAATATCTCTCACACTCGCATACATGGAGCCCAACATTCCCCAACACACACACACACACACACACACAGATATGCAGAGACAAATGCAAAAAGGAAAAACACACACACACTTTACAAGACACAGTAACCACCTAACACGGTCTAACCATCTACTGTAGACATCAGAGAAAGAGCTTAAAGTGCATACAGGAACAGAGGAGGGCTTCTCCAGCGCTCGGTACCAGTAACAACCTGTTTAACTTATGTCCGCAAAGATCCAAGATCCACGCACCAGATCCCAGTCAGGACGCAACAACACTGCATAGCTCACAGGGTCAGTCTTATACATTATTGCGGTACGATGTCGTGTAGGTCCCGGTCGGTCCAGGACGGGTTAGCCATGGCACTGAAAGCTCGTTCGGTCAGGATCGGAGGAATAAATCCAGCGCAAGAAGCTCCGGTTGCTTTGAATGAACCACCCGAATGAGGAGCTGGAGGTTCCAACATGGCGGCTTGAAGATGTCCAGTAATCTGATGCATAGTAGGAGGCTGCAGTGACTCTCTGAGGCGGACGAGGCTCAGTAAGGGGCAAAGAGGACTTGTGGATGAGAGGTCCTGACAGGCCCGGGCGCCGGGCGGAGCAGTGCGGCGGGGAGCGCCTGAGTCTGGAAAAGGGCGGGGTTCGGCGTTGGGCTGGCGCCGTGGTTTGTGCGGTGCGTGAAGGAGCCTCCGATGGCGGCGGCCACCGCTGCCAAGTGAGCGGGAAGGATCTGAGCCGCCAGAGGCCGACACTGAGCCTCCTTTCCTAAGATCAGCTTAATCTGGGAGTAAAAGACACGACAAGCATTTCAGATCGATGAAGGAATAACTGGAATCCACAGACACTGGTCAGTTTTTACGGCAAAATATCAAAAAAGAAACATCTTTGTGGCCATGCAGCCCATCAGTTTGTGAAAAACTGCTCAGGTACAAAGAAAGTTACAGCAAAAACACCAAATATAACCAAGTATTTTCACTCCAGTTTCTAAATGCAAACATCTCACTACAATTGAAATAAGACAAAACTAACTGACAAGTAACTTTTCAGGAAGATACAGGATCTTCAGTCAATAATTATAAATAAGAAGTTCCAGTTCCACTTATCTTAAATGTACTAAGATATTTGCACTAGAAACAGGTGTTTTGCAGTGACACTGTTTTTTGAAGAAAGCAGTTAAATTGTCCAAAAACTGTATATTTTCTATCTTTCTTATTTTACCTTAATTACAGACCATTTTGATTGCAGATAACAAGATAGCTAGCTGTAGCTAGGTTTATCTATAGCCATGTATGTCTATGTCTGGGCATAGCTCTGGTTAGATTTTGTGTTTTTTTATAAAAACATCTTTTTGGTCTGGCCATCAGACGTAGAGTAGTTTCCTTCCACAGCTCTGTTGCCTGACAGTCTAAAGACAAATAGCTCATGTGACAAATCATCCAAGCAAGACAATAAATTGGTCTATCCAAGAAAACCCTCCCAAGTTTCTAATCTTAAAGTAACAGCCAGTTTTTGTGTTTTTTGTCATGTAGTTTTATCTGAAAAGCAGAAAAATGAAAATCCTCGTGGCGTGGAAATGCCACCGCAGTTATCAGGCTTAATCTTGTGTATCGGTGATGAAAAGGCTGCGTCCTCCCAGCGTAGCAGCCGCCGTCACAGGTTATCAATAAGCGGCCGGTGCGGCGCAGCCCAGCGGGAAGCGCTCTGTACTCGGCGCCCATCAGAGGAGCTCCTCTCCGTTAACTCAGTCAATGATGGGTTTCAGAAAAAGCCATTTCCCCCTCACTGATATCCCTGCTGCCTGGTCTCTGCAAACAGTGGGTGTGATGAACGACGTCGTCTTGGGCTTTTTTGTAAGATTAACAGCTCCCCACATTAAACCCACATGGTTCTTTTCATATCTATCTTATGTGACAATCAAAAACTGGAGCCAGAAAACAGCAACGATTGGCTGCCAGGTTCCAGAAAGTTCAACAACGACCTCAGGTAAATAAAAAGTTATTTCTCTTTTGTTCTGGGGTTTATCAACCTGCGCCGCTTTGATCTGTCAGACCACAATCCTCAGAATAAGTTAAATCTGACATTTACAATCACGTTTAAACAGTAATCGACCCAAGCCTGCATTCCTCCTGCAGCATGCTGGACCAGACACGCTATTCCTGTCAATAAAATATCAATATTATGACGCAGCGTTCCTTAATAAAAGGTGCTGGCAGGTGGTCCTCGTATAAAGGCTGACATTTTACCGACCGAACGTGACTATCGAGGCTCGCTTCATGGAGAAGTCCTAAAACTGCTCACTGATTTGTCCAATTTTCCCTCCAGCAAAATCCTCCGACCACAAAGTTAAAAGATGAAACTGCTGCTGCGCATGAGCTGACAAATCCACAACGGCGAATCCGGGATGTTGTAGGCAGAAAAAATAGAAAAAAAGAGTAACTTTTAGTCCAGAAATGTTTTGAATAGTCTCAGAAATTTTCTAAATAAAACAAGAACATGTTTGAGCTCCAAAAGTCAAACATTTGTTTAGAAATAAACTTGGTAACTTTTAAAATTTAGATGAATCTCAGGCGGTTTCCAGAGAAACATGGAAATCTCTGAACTCCAAAAGTTAAACATTTTGTCGGCAAAAATTTGGAGAATTCTTGGAAAATATTATATTTCTATAGAAAAAAAAATCAGAAATTTTGACATTAATCTAAAAAAAAGGAAAATATCTGAACTCAAAAAGTTAACTTTTTCTTTTTTTTAAAAAGTCAAAAGTTTGAAAAAAACCTGAAATTTCCCTGAAGTTTTCTAGTAAAACCTGGAGATTTCTGAGTTTCAAAAGTAATTTTTTCCTCTTTTGAAACTCAAAGTTTTTCTATAAATTTTCTGGGACTAATCTTAAACTTCAAATTTTGTTTTAGCAAATGTTCAACTTTTCATATTCGGAAATTAAATATTTTTTCCAGAAAATTTCTGAGATGAATCCAAGAATGTTGGTGTGTTTTGGTGGAAATTTGCTCCATTTTTCCCGTGCATGTTTGGTCGTGATGGTTGGTTTGGACATGGACTTTCTGTCTGCAGAGACTCACCGGCTGTTTGGTCTGGCCTTTCTGCGGTTTGCTATACGGACTGTATTTGGGCTTCGCCGGTTTTCCTGCTGCTCGATCTTTATGACGCCGACTGCTGATGTGCTAAAGAAGAAAAGAAATAAGGGAGAACAAATTTCAATGACATGTAAAAATGAACCAATTCATTTAGTTAACTTTGAGATTTTATGCTACTGTGAAAAATAACAACATGAAAGATACTTTAATTTATTTTTTTTTTTTACCATTAATAAATTATTGGGGCTGGACGGAGCAGCTATTAATAGTCAGCATCTGTTTTCCAGTAACAGCTCTGAGATTCATGCACAAAAAAACAACAGTCGTATAAGAATAAAATCAAAGTATTACCAGAGTAAGTTGTAGTTTTACAAAAATAGCAAAAAATATGTGAGAATAAGTTCAAAATAATGAGAATAAAATCACATTTCAACAACAAAGTTGTAGTATTACGAGAATAAAGTCATAATATTATGAAAATAAAGGCATAATGACCATTTTCCCGATACGACTATTTTTATTTTATTTTGTAAAACTTTATTATCATAATGATATGACTTTATTTTTTGACTTTTATTTTGTTTTGGCCCTTATTAGAAAACATTTAAGGTTCAGATAACAGATTTTCACTCAACAGCTCAACATACATGTGATTATTTTCTCAGCCATCATTAAAATTTGAAACAAAATTACTTCTTTTAAACCTCCTGAGTATGAAAATCTGGAGGAATCTTCAGACATGTGATATAAAACAATAAAAAATATCTTATTCAAAACGTGCATATCCACATTTCAAGAGTGATTAATCTGTCTGATCAATTAACAGCGGTCGTTAAAAGTGACTGTAAATGAGATTAAAGCGTTAGACTGAAGGAAACGTGCAGCAGTAAGAATAAATCCAGCTGAAGAATAAAAGCTACTTTCCACATTTTCACGGCCGGCTGTGTAGCCAAGGCAACGGAGTAAAAAACACGAGGCAGAAGTCATTGTTGATATCGTTTAAGCAGCAGGCGACCACCGAGTGTGCGAGAAAAAAAAAGAGAGAAAACCTTAGTTGTTTTTTCTACGTGAATCTGAAATTTATCAGTAATGGCAACAGATTAAAACAAAAAGGCAAAATCTGAGATTCAGAGAAATAAACATAAATAATCTGTAGAGAAGAAATGAGAGAAAACACTGGTCAGATTTCACCAAAATAACTTTTACAATATGCAAATGTGGCAAAAACTGTACTGACAATCATCCTCCTGTATGCAATGCTCACTAGTGTTTACAGGAGCTAACTAGCCGTGCTAATTAGCCTAAGGCAGATAAATGGTTTTTCTGAAAGGAAAGTTGGCCATTAGCATATTTAGCAGCGTGTACACGAGGATGACTGACAATGCTAAAACCCACCTCCTGGCTCTGATTGGCTGTTTTTGGCCATTCAAAACCATAGTGACAACTTTAATCAATATTTTTTAAAAATCATTAGATACTGCAACTTCAAAATTATATTCAAGTAAAAGTAAAAAGTAGAAGAGTAAAAATCTATTTAATAAAAAGTTTACTGAAGTAACTGATCAAATTATCAATCATTTCGTAGTTAATAATTACATCATCAGATGGACCAAAATATAAACTTTGGTGTTTTAAGGACCAAAATGGCAATAATAACAAAACATAACAAAATCGGGCAAAATAATATTTTTCTAAATCAGTTTCTTTCAATGAAAAAAAACTGATGAAACTTTTAGAAAAACTGCAGGTGTTTGTTTGTGTCTGGTGGCTTTTTGTTGAAACATGTTTGTTTTTCATTCAGTGGATAAAAAATCCAGAAATTTTACTCAAGATTATAAATACTTAATCATAAAATTACTCAAGTAAAAGTAAAAAGTACAGTGTGGTAAGAGTAAGTTTTTTCAAAACAGTCACTCAAGGAATATTTGGTGATTTCTTACTGTAATGTGACGCCAGGTTTGAAATTTTGAGGTGGATAAAAACTTTTCAGAGGCTCTTTGAACTGAATTATACCTGATTAAAACATCCAAACTTTTCATTTGAGAACTTTTTCCTTCCCAGACAGTTTTGATGTCAAATAAAAGCAAAAATCTTGAAAATATGAAAAAGTTTAGATAAATTGACAGGTTTGTCCCTGTTCAAACAATAAAACACCGAACATCCTGGCTGGTTAGTGAGAACTATTTTATTGAGCCTCCCATGGTTTGATTTATCAGCATGGAGCTAAATAGCGAGGCGAATGTGGCTTTCCTCCTGCTGAAATATGACAAACAGCTGTGTGGTCAGTGTGGGTACATCCTGTAACCAAAAAACCTGATTTATGTCCCGGATTAAATTTCTCCAATCCTTGCAGAGGGGCGTAGATTCACGCTTTTGTTTTGGCGAGGAGCAGCTTCATAAATTTCCTACGTCTGCCGTTCGCGTCCTGTTTGTGGGGAATCTCTGCTCTTCAGACGTGAAAATGTAAAGAAAACCTGTTTGGTTTTCAGAGAGAGACATCTGATAACGCCGGGCCGATTTCTGACGAAAAACAAATCAAACGAAGGTTTGGCACCAAACCGCACTGATCGAGAAATGAAGATTTAACCTCCATTTTATTTACACTTACTAATCATTCATGTTTAATGACTTATCTACACTTTTCTGTTTCCAGGGTGCAATGATTAAACAACGTCCAGCTGCAAAGATAAAAAAGTAAAATTTTTATGCACAAGTTTGAATTTATTTTGGATTTTCTGTCCATAAAAATATACATACAACCAAAAATCAAAAATCCCTGGCCAATCAAGTGTTTTTTTAAGTCCTAGGCTGATTTTACGGAAACACTTAAAAAGTAAATTTTGCATAAAATGACCCCTTTAAATAAAGACAATGACCCCTTTAAATAAAGACAATGACCCCTTTAAATAAAGACAAAGCAAAACTCAGTAAAACTGGCAATGACTCACATTTTACTTGAAGAGATGTTGAACAAGTTGTAAGGATTTGTGGTGAGTTGGAGGGGAAATATGGAGAAATGAAGAGTAGTTAAAGATTCTTGCTCTGTACTTTATGTCATAAATCTGACCTTTTACCCCAACATGACTCGTCTGCATACGATCCCTGATAATACATGGACGGATCAGCCAGCGGAGCTGCATTTCAGCAGGCTGTGTATCAGTTTCTGTGTTCAAAGACGTCATTTGCATAAAGTAGGGGGTTGATTTATTGTTTCCTTCCTTATCCTCCTTCAGCTGATGCAACAGCACACATGAGGGAGGCGTGTTGGCTTCCCGCAGCCCTCAGAAACGCCACGTCGAGCCGTTCCATCAAACATTCTGACATGTTATGCAAATGTGAATAATTTATTGTGTTAAACAATTTCTCTGGCCCAAATCTGTGAATTTCAAGTTGTGTGAGAGAGAATTTGGTAAAATAAAAAAGAACAAGAAGAAATAATTAAATTATAATTTTTTGAAAATGATGTCTCAATTTAAAACCCAGTTTCCAGTCTGTGAATCTCACCTGCTTTAGCTGAGTCTCTGAATTGACATGCACGTCACACGTCTCACAGTAAAAGGTTTTGTTCTGCAGGCCAGTCGATGATTTGGAGGATGAAGCCAATTTGCTTTTGACTCCCGGTCGAGGGAAAGACTTGATGGAGCCCACGCCGCTGCGGGCCTCCAGCATCGTCTTGTGCTTCGTACCTGCGGGTCAGAACGGGAAACGAGACGTGTCACGTCATGACTGTCACCTCTGGGGAAACGGCCGGAGGGAGACAGGGAGGCAAAGAAGTTCAAATATGGGGCTTGCCGCTCGGGTGATTTCTGAAATACGAGGATCAGAGTTGAAGGGTCAGCTTGTAATTTATCCTAAAACATCCCCCATCAAAGACTCACCAGTTTAAAAGCTACATATTCGACCTTTGAGCTGCGTTTGACTCAGGAGAGACAATTACTAACCCACAAAGAAACGGGGTTAAAGTCTAAAGTTTTTTAAAGTTTTTATTGGAGACATGCAGCTCTGAAGCTCTTTAGCCTCTTGAACTGAGCAGCATGAAAGTCAGTAAGGCTCATATTTATGACAGAAAAGAAACACATAGCCTGCTTTACTAACAGGGTTTGTTCACACTAATTGGAAGTGAACAGAGTTTGACATTCTGTATTTTTATTACCGTGAAATAGAAATTCCTCTTTACAGAGAAAAAAAACAAAACCCACGTTACTAAAAATCTTTACCAAGGCATAAAGCAACTGAAGCTGTTTGTGACACAGTTACCAAAAATAGTTAAAAAGAAGAAAAAGAGAAAATTTGTAACACGATCAATTATTACTTGAAAACAAGCCATATTGAGGTCATATTGGCTCTAATGAAAAAAGGTTTACATAAAACGTGCAAAAACAAAACAAAAATACGACTAATAAAAGAAAAGGACTTGTTTTGTACCTAAAATGTTCTGTTTTAGGTTTGTAACTGAAAATCTAATACAAGGACAAACACAAAAAGTCTCCATCGGCATAAGTTTTATTTGCTGTAATACCATTAAAACTATTCTCAAACTGTGACAAGGGCCAAACAAAACTACTCCTGGGTCCACAAATGGCCCCTGGGCCGCACTTTGGACACCCCTGTTGATTTAAACTCCAGATTTAACAAGCCGCTAAATCAGGGACTCTCCAACATCATCTGCTTTCGGACAAACTCCGAACTTGCAAATCTTCACTGAACCTTAAACTTCCCTTCTCCAGCTCACTCTGGAATGGAGTTCCTCAGGGTTGTGTACGGAGCCCCTTGCTCAACCATAACTGTACCAGATCCCACCAAAAGCAAAACATTGATCATTTCTGTGCCTATAGTCTGGTTGAATAAATCATTTATTGTAGCAAATTTCTTATTAAGATAAGATTTCAGATTTATAGTTGTTTCCATAAATTCATTTAATAAAGTTAGAAAAAAAACAGAACTGACAGTGTCATCAGAAATGGTATTTTTAATATTTTTCTCCACTGTTTGTTCCATTAGAGGATCAATAAATATCAGTAAATCTGACAATATGATTAAATGTGAAGTTTCAGTTATGCTTTTAAAGAGCAGTGTTTGTATTTGTGGTCAGATTAATGCTGCTAAAAGTAGTCATAGCCATACAGTTAAAACATAGTTTTTTAATCATAATTTTTATCATTCTGACAACAGTACCACAAAATATTGAGATATTTCATCCTTGCAGTGATTGTTGCAACATGTTCAGTAATGTTGTAAAACCTCAGGGGAAGAGAAATATAGTTCACATTTCAATATATGTTTTAAAATATATTTTTGCATTCATACTGCCAACATATGAGGCCACTTGCAAAAGGAGTTCAATCTCCAAACTGTCGGAAGTATCAGCCTTTTAATAAATGGTAGAATTTCTGTCTGAATGTTACAAAGACTAAAAAATGACTGACAGAACAAAAGATGTCAGAGAAAACCCCAGCTGTTTGGTAATGAAAGGAACTTGTTCTCTCTTCTGAATCAGAGCTGCGTTCTGCACAAGGTGGTGTGACTATTAATCTGTCTGTGCTCAGCTGAGAGTTTTATTGTGTAGGAGTTTCTGTGACAGTCATGCTGGGAATCCTGCAGATAAATATTAAAATGTTCCAAGATTTTTCTTTTTATATAAATCAACTGGTGGTTGCGAAAAGCAACAGACTCCTTCTGCTGTCAGAGGCAGAGGGATTTTATTTTTATGCAGAACTGCTGAAAATGTGCATCATTATTTATCAATAGATACACTACAAAAACATAAATATTACCAAATACTTTTGTTTAGTGTCTAGTGCAGATATCTTACTACACTTGAAATAAGACAAAACTAACTTACAAGTGGTTTTTCAGCAAATTGCAAGAGCTCAAGTCAATAAGTCCTTAAAATTAATGAAAAAGTTCCTGTTGGCAGATCGTTTCACTGCAAACAAGGGAAAATGTCTTGTTATAAGTGGCTTATAAGCACTTTTTCATCAATATCAAGGAATTATTTACTTAAACAAGGTCGTACACATTGCTGAAAAGTTACTTGCAAGTTACTTTTTTCTCATTTCAAGTGTAATAAGATAAGACACCAGAAACTAGACAAAATAACTTGGTGATATTTTGAGTTTTTGCAGTGTAATTGTTGTTTTGTTTTTTGTATGAAGTTCTGCCAAGCTGGTGATTTTACCTTCTGTTTTTATCCAGTTTTCACTGTACATTGTTCTTTATGTTTGTTTGTTTTCAAACAGTCAAAAGGGACTGAGGCCAAACTTTAAACTGCTGCAGTGCAAGTTTCTCCACAGGGTGTTAAGCCTAAATCTTATTTATGAAATTAGAAATAACTTTATTTCTCTCCTTACCGGTGTTGTGAGCGTCCAGCTGCGACGCAGAGTTGACCGCCACTTTGCAGAGCGAGCAGTAAAGGAGGCGCCGGGCTTTCTCCTCCTCTGTCTCCGTTTCGGTCTCCGTCTCAGCTTCGGCCTGGTTGTCCGCCTCCGTCTCTGAGGGTGAGCTTGTTTTCGGCAGCGTCTCCTCTCCGTGAGAAGCCAAGGTAGCGTCGGAGGCGGCCGCGTCACCTGGAGCTTTCAGAGAGCTTAACGGCTCAGGCGAGGACGCAGCTGGGGTCGCCGTGGGGTTCGCTGGTCTGATCAGGGGGGAAGCCGTTGACCCAGAGGTGACATCTGTGGAAAAATAAGTGGAAATTGTGTTTAGTTTAGGGCTGAAACTACAATTATTTTAGTTACCGATCATTACATTTGCATGATTAATCAAATGATTGGATAAACAATCTGAACACTGCAGATTTGTTATTTAAATATTAGGAATGCATTTAAAAAATTCCACCAAAGTGAAATATAAAGTGATAGAAAGGGAATGTCTCAGACACAAACTCTCCTGTCTGGAGAGAACTTGGACCAACCTGCTCGTCAGCTGCAATGCGGTTTGTCCCAAGATTTCACCCAGCAGAAGAGTTTGTGCAGTGAGAGTCTGTTGAGTGAAGAAAATCAAACGTTTTTCCCTTCCAGGTCAAATAAACCTGCTTCACCAGACGTGCATCAGTGTGTAAAGAAACAGATTTGATCCCATTGCAACGGTTTTCGAAAGATTTTGAGCAAATAAACAGATAACCACAAATCTAATTGGACATTATTACAATTAAAGCAACAACAGTACAACATCAGGCTCAGTTTCACCTCATTTATGAATTTATTTAATAGAGTGAAACCTGAAGCAACCCTCAAAAGTAATGAGCAATAATGCATTCATAAATTATGAGATATTTGTATTCTTTCCATTTTGTTTCCATATTGTTTTTGTAATTATTACTGATGACACTAATAAGGCGCAATAATGAAATTAATTCCCCAAAGCAACAATCTGTGAAAAAACACGGCTAATTTTATTCAACATAATGTGGAGGAAATAAAATTGCTGCTGCTTCCTAAACCACAGAAAAATTTAGCTGTGAACTTCAAATAGACCAATTTCTGTAATTTTTGCCAGCATCCTTCAGATGCAGCTTTTTAAATTTAAACCTTCGGGGCTTTTTGATCAAGACAAAACCAAAAACTTTGATCCAAACAAAGGTTTCAGTTCAGGGTTTCATTTCAATCTTATGTGTTGGTCCATTTTTTAAAAATATTCTGCTGTTACTTTAATTAGCGTTTCAATCCAAATGTGATAGAAGTTGTTTTGTTTTCAAGTAGATCGATTTTTTTTTATGAAGAACAGCTTTGTTTCTAGAGGCTTTATTATTCATTTTATTTGTTGTTCTGTTTATTTATTTTGGATATTTAAAATATCTTTCAGTTCCAGTGTTACATGTTCATTAGAATTTGAAGTTCAATGATATTTCAGAATGTACTTTTCCACTATTACCATTATATTACTTGAAAATGGTCTCAAAATATCAATATTTTCATTTACCACAATAATTTCTGGAACAATTTATCATCCATTAAAATTTGTTATTGCGAACGACTTACAAGTCACAAAACACATTATCTTTCCAAATGGCTTCTAGTGCAAATATCCTTTTATGCTTGAAATAATAATTATTTGCAAACTGCTTCCTGTTTGCACTGCAAAAACACTAAATATCACCAAGTATTTTTGTCTAGTTTCCAATACAAATATCCTGAAAACACCTGAAATGAAAGAAACTTACAACTTGTCATCAAGACATAGGAGCTAAATAATTCCTTAACAAAGATGAAGAATTTCTCGTTCAATTTCACTTATAATATTGGAAAAATGTCTTGATAAAAGAGAAATAATCTGCCAATATAACTAGTAATTTCTCTTCAATATGAATATTTACCTGTTTTGTGCTGAAAAGTTTCTCTAACTTCAAGTATACTAAGAAATTAGACGAAAATACTCGTTTTTGCAGTTTACAAAGAAATGCTGTAAACCGATGGTTTGTCTCTCATGTCTAAAGTTAATCTTGATACTGTATATTTATGGTAGCTGTGAATCTGCACCGTGTTCAACACCTTGAGCTGCTTCACCCTGGCACAAATGTTTGTATATCATTTTCCAAGAACAAAGACAGCAGCGGATCGATATATTGGACTCATAAAAACAACACCACGCGTCCCGGCGTTGAATACAGAAGGACCGTGACGGGCTGCAACTTTTCCAAAAAATTAAAATCCTCCTCGCCGGCGCCGGCTGATCGATGCCGACGCCTCCGACTTCTCCGCACTGCAGAAGTCGGAGGCGCCGCCGAATGAAGATCTGTGAGCCCGGAGAGCAAATCAATAGTGAATTATGTCACGCTGGTTTTGTGGACCATTAGATATACGGTCGTTATTTATCCCAGCACAGTTGGTGCCACAAACACCTTGTGAAGCCAACAGTTTAACAAAGATCACCACAGTCAAAGGAAATCAGAAACGCAAGCAGGAGATTGTAAATTAGGCTTCTGAAAGTATCAGAAATGATCTAAATAAAGCAGTAAAATTTGTGATGGTACCGCTCTCACGCTGAATGATAATAAACGTATGGAAACGCACACACTGTGATATTTACTTTTACTATCTGAGTGTTTGCGAGCATCCAATCCATTAACCTCTTGAAATGGCTCTCAGGCACATTTTTACCCATAATGCTCTCCTTTTACACCTGACTGACTCCAGCTATAAAATTTGCAGCTCCATCATAAAACCTGCTGCAGCTTTTGAATGCAGATCTTCGCAGGAGTCAGCGGAGGATGAATATACAAGGACTGCTTCAAAATGCAATGAGGCTGTGCTTTATGATGGTAGAAATATGCTGTAAAGTCAGAACATATTTCAAGAAACACCCCATTTTACCCCCCAGAGTGAAAGACTTTAGGCTGGAGTACAACAGCAAAGTTAGGAAACTGTAGTTTGGGAATTTCATGAGGCACTGAGAACCATTCCTCTCCATTAATAAAATTTAACAAGGATGAACATCTTATGAATCTACCTCCTACATACTTTAACACACAAAAAAAATACTTATTTGTTTTTTTAAATACTTTGCAGAACCATTTAACTCCCATTTTCAAGTCAAAGTTTGAAGTGGTGATGTAATTCCTCTGCAGTCGAGACAAGTCTGCAACTTGAGTAAATTATATTCTGTTTAGAAAAGTATAAAAAACTAAAAAGAATGTTGAAAAACATTTGTATTCCCCAGATTTTTAAAAAACTATTTATACTACACTATCTGATGATTTTCACCTTCAGAGAGATTCTTTCTCTTTCCCATATTGCTCGAAACCTGTGGCTTGCTTAATAATGTGGAACATCCTTCTGAAGCAGATTTCCTTTAGCTCACCAGACAAACTAATCAACTCAGCTCTGTGAAATTAATTATAGTGATTCAAAGAGCCCTGACACACAATACCATCTATACATTTAGTACCACAACAAAAAATTGCATCTTTATGACACTTAAATCCAATTTGCATAATAATTTGGAACATGGTGTCAAATGTCTGACTTCAAAGTGTAAACGCGTCCGAGTTGGACGCGTTGGTTGTGAACGCAGCACGAGCTTCTGGTTTGTGTATTGTTGTAATAGCAACTGCCAGTCCAGTCGACCCCAGGTATCAGTTTGCTCAACAGAAACTATTTTAAATAATCTCTATTTAAGGAAAAGCAGCAGCTGAATTTTCTTAGAAACAACTCAAACTTCTCATTTAACTAATTTTGGCAAGGAAGCCGTTTTTCCCTGTGCCCTGCTGCTCTCCTTTTGTGCCGTTTAACAAAGCGCTCCTGACAGGATCTGTCCATCTCCTGACCTCAAACAAGGGCACCTTTTGATTACCGTTGCCAGCACATGATTGAGCGCTGGCGGAGCGGCGCGGAGCACCTGTGGTCGTTGACCTCCGGGTGTCCGCATGTGTTCCCGCCGACGCTGCAGATGTCTGCAGACAGATTTAAGAAAGGCCATTATTTACAGCTGTTACGTCCAGTATCATGAGAGGAATATTTGAAGGGGATTTAATTATTATTTTTACCTCTCGGACTTTATTTATTTCATTTAAACATTGTAAACTGAATAATTAATGCCTAAGCCTAGTTTTAGACAAATGCAACTTTACATTAAAGCTGCAGTATGTAACTTTTATTGACACTGAAGACATTTTAAATATCTAAAATAAATAAACAAAATATGAGTCAACAAATAAAATGGATTATGAAGTTTCTGTAAACAAAATTGTCCTTCAAAACAGGCTAGCTGAGACCAAAACAGTGGACCGAAAACTTTTATCATCTAGTTTTTGGTAGAAAAAGAAAGAAAATAGAAAAATTATATATCCAGCAAATGGAAATTATTGAACTAAATCAAATTTATCTTCCAATTAACAGATTATCGTCTACTTCTAGTTTGTAACACCCAATTTTCTCAACCTCCTTCCTGAACTGCTGTTGCTGTTTTAAGAAATGCATCACTCCCACCCAAAAGCAACCAATCAGAGACAGAGGCAGGGTCTCAGCGCTGTCAATCACCCTCTCATGTACTCGCTGCTCAATGTGTTAATATCGGAGAAATAACTTTCAGTTACAGGAAAAGCATTTTCCCACCATCATAGACGGCTAAGCTAACCAGCATTATCAAACTTCTGTTATGTTGAACTAATGCTAGCGTCACTAATGTGTTGACTAGCATGATATTATAACTAGCTAGTCATAACGAATAAGTAGCATAACTCATGTTACGCTGGTTACATGTCAATGGTAGCTGCAGCGCCACACGGAGGGTGATTGGCAGCGCTAAGATCCACTTCCTGGCTCTGATTGGTTGTTTCTAGTTAGCCCTGGAAGAAGGCAGAGGAGCTCAATCTTTTCAAACAGTGATAGCTTCAATATCAAAACATACATTGTTTTAATAAAACTCACATACTTTTTTGCTTTAGCTCCCTTGAATTCTAGTAAAGTGGTTATTTGACCCCGCTAACCTTGGCTGATGTTTACACGTTTAGCAGGCTGCCAACGACCTCCTCGCTCCTACAATTAACAGCCGTCGACTCCCAGGCGGCCGCGCCGAGCCGAGCATCAAAACAGCCTGAAATCACAGCGATTAACTCAGTCAGGCTTGCTGTCCCCATCCGGCTGCCATCACACCTGCTTCTCTGCCGCTACGTTGCCAGGTTTGAGTGCAATTCCCAGGAAAAGGTTTGGGGTCGGTTTGAGCCAGACAGGTTTTT